CTAACAATTTGAATGTAGGCCCCTCTTGATCTTGAGACCCTAGGCTGAAGCCTAGTTAGCCTATAGGAAAATCCGGCCCTGCCCAGCAGCATCTGCAGGAAACTTCAGGAAACACTTAAAAGACAACATCCAGGTAGTATTGAAGAAGTAGAGTCTGAGAAAGGGATTTATTTAATTATTTGTATCGCACCTTCTTATTTTTACAAATAACTCAAGGCTGCAAACACACCCAACGCACCTTCCACCTGTTATTTCCACACAATAACAACCCTGGGAGGTGGATTGGGCTGAGAGAGTGAGTGGCCCAAAACCACCCAGCTGGCTTTCCTGGCTAAGGTAGGACCTGAACTCATAATCTCTAAATTTCTAGCCTGGCGCCTTAACCACTAAACCTGTGATGGTGAATCTATGGCACGCGTATCACAGGTGGCACACAGAGCCATATTTGGTGGCACGCCAGCCATCAGTTTCGGTGAGCATGTATGCGCTGGCCAGCTGGTCTTTTGCCCATCCGGAGCTCAAGGGGAGGCTGTTTTCGCCCTCCACAGGCTTTAAGAAAGTCTCCGGAGGTTGGGGAGGGTGAAAAATGGCCCCAATTGGCCAACTTGAAGTTCGGGAAGAATCTGTTTCTGGCTTCCGGAAGGCCTCTGGGGGGGGGGGGGGCAGGGGAGGAAGTTTTCGCCCTATTCAGGCTTCAGGAAAGCCTCCGGAGCCTGGGGGGGTTCATGCACACATGCACAGGTGGGTGGGGATATTGAGTGGGCATGCGTGAAGGTGGTATCTCACACGCACACGCAATTTTGTCATGCCGTAAGAAAAAGGTTCGCCATCACTGCACTAGAGCAAACTGGTTCCCAATTTAGCTGAGTGGATTGAGATGAAAGTTGTAAACTACTCAGAGAACATGATATGAGGAGCCAAACCTCCTGCAAGTATGGAGCCTTTCAGTTACCATACATAAAGCTAAATATGGACTGGACAGTTTCAAATCTTTGCCTCTAGATACCTCCACCAATCCATTTAAACAAGAAAAAAATGGCAATGGGATCTACTGTTTCTGTCTCTCTTGCAGCCAAAAGTGGTCAGAGGGGCAAGTAAAGAAACCAGGGGTCAGATTGAAGGGTACGGTCCTATAACAAGGAAAATTCAATTGATGCCAGAAAATTAATTAGGAAATATTCTGGAAGTATTTTCACCTATATAAACTGAATTTTTAAACAGTCAAATTCAAGAAATCTCATTTGATGAATCTTCAGCCCCTTCAAGCTTTGTTCATCACTGGTAAAACTTATCCCTAACAAGGAAAGCTCAGTGGAGATGTACAGAATGTAAAGATCAGATGAGCAGCTGGCTTGGAAGAACTGCAAAGGATATGGTGAATTGCAAAATAAACATGAGTCAGGAAAATCCTGCAGTGGCTAGGACAAGGGAACGTTTGGGGGAGATGTATGGGCCAGAGAACTTGACATTGTTCCACATTGCTTAATCCTTGGCTGGAGGAAGGAAATCTGCCCTTTAGCAAAAAGGAAATAAAAGTAAGTGGGCTGATCTATCTGTATTGGAGGGGGGAGTAGTTATACACTGTTGCAGAATAAAAGATTAACCAGGTTCCTTCAGCCACCAATCAGTAGATCAATTTGCTGAAATCTCATACATATTGATCTCATTTCAATTGGGCATATCAAAAGGTAATCCATATCTTGAAGCAAGGACAGATAACTTTTTGATAGCTAAGGACTTTTTGGGGAATAGATGGCTTTGAGGGTATTTTTTAAAGCTGTATTAGATGGCTTTGAGGGTATTTTTTTAAAGCTGTATTAGACTTATTTGGGACTGTCAATTTTTGTTTTATATCAAGATGGCAGACCACTTTAATCAATTATATTCGGAAGGGACTCTAGAGACCACAAGAAAGGGGATGACAGCTAACCAACCTGTGATTTAAAGGAACATTTCCTCATTTTGGACTATTGTAACATTCATCTCAATAATGAGAAAGTCTGGAGGCAAAGTACATATATGGATTTGGGTTCTTTTAATATTTGCAGAGATTTATTTTTAAAAAATGACACAACATTCCAATAGGCAGCCAAAACTCAATGCTCTAACATCTGATATGCGGGACAGTTTCCCTAAACATTTGTTCTTCATATATGTTATATTACACAAATCCCATAATTTTCCTTCCCAGGAAGATTCTCATTACTGAAGACCATTAATTTGTAACTTTTGTAGCAAAGGAGACACTTGAAAACTCCTAGCCAGGATTGTTCAGATGACTTTGCACATTATTTTGGATTGGCCCTTTCCTATTTAAATTTGCATCATTGTTTAGCTTATTGTGCAATGGGAGATGAACAAACACAATTAAAATCTCTTAGATGGTGTTTTCTTTCATCCTGGAATATTTTATGCTACCCAACCTTGTTATTCACCTTGAGTTGATAATGACTATGACGTTGTAATCTTGAGTCAAAGACATTCACATGCTAATTCATTTTTCATGCTTTTCTTGCAGTTTTCAAGAAAGTGGGATCAATAGCTGATAAATTTAACTCAACTCAGACGTACTATGAAAAGACGATTGTGTCAGTCCAAAAAAATCTTCAGGATCTAGGTAAGAGCAATGTTGCTACTTTGATGTTTTCATCCAAAAAAAAACCAGGTATGATACATTCTAATTAGCTCCCATTTATTTTAAGTTCCCATACTGATATGGCACATGTTTCAGTTCCTACAGCGGTTTGACATCAATAATCTCCTAAATGCAAGGCAAGACTCCTTTCATATTGCAAATAGGAGAACCTCTGGTCCTTCAGATGATACAGAATTAACAACTTCCAGCATCTCCCATAACTGATTTGCCTGGCAGTTATATTTAGATTGGGGACCATTGAGGTTATGGAGAGGATTGATTGATTGATGTAGATTCTTAGCAACCGTATAGATCAGTGGGGTAAAACTCAAGGTCCATGGCCCAGATCTGACCCATGGAGTGCTTAGATCTGGCTCGCGGGGCCGCCCTGGAAACAGCGAAGGACCGGCCTGCAGTGCCTCTGCCAGTAAAAGCAGAGGACAGTGGGCACCCCTCCTGAGCTCTGTTTTCATTGGCAGAGGATTGCAGGAGGCCGTCACAGTTAACAATGGAGCTCGGGAACCCATTTTCACTGACAGAGCGCTCAGAGCACTCAAGCCACCACAGGAGCCCATGACGCGAGTGATGTCGGGCTGGCCACACCCACCCCAACCCTCCAAGGTGAAACACAACCCTGCGGCCCTCAATGAAGTCGAGTTTGACACCCCTGATATAGATAAATTTTCTTCATCATAATCTCTGCCTAATTGGTCCTTCTGCTCTTCCAGTAGTGCACTCATTGCAACTATGGTTTAGCCTATACACCAGTGGTGGGATTCAATTTTTTTTTACTATTGGTTCTGTGAGCGTGGCTTGGTGGGTATGGCGTGGCTTGGTGGGCGTGGCAGGGAAAGGATACTGTGAAATCTCCATTCCTTCCCCACTGCAGGGGAAGGTTACTGCAAAATCTGCATTTCCTCCCAATCAACTGGGACTCGGGAGGCAGAGAATAGATGGGGGCAGGGCCAGTCAGAGGTCCTATTTACTGGTTCTCCAAACCAGTGTTTTCCAATCTTGGCAATCTGAAGATGTCCGGACTTCAACTCCCAGAATTCCCCAGCCAGCATTTGCTGGCTGGGAAATTCTGGGAGTTGAAGTCCGGACAGCTTCAAGTTGCCAAGGTTGGGAAACACTGCTCCAAACTACTCAAAATTTCTGCTACTGGTTCTCCAGAACTGGTCAGAACCTGCTGAATACCACCTCTGCCATAGATCTTGCTGGTAGGCATATTCTTCCATCATTAGCGCCTTCTCTTGGGAAGTAGGTATTTGCACAATGTGTCCTAACTATGGTAATTTGACCCCCAGGTGGGAATTCTGTGTTGATTTGTTTGATGAGCCATTTGTTTGTTTCCTTGGCTGTCCATGATATTCATCATAAGAGCCAAGGTGGCGCAGTGGGTAGAGTGCAGTACTGCAGGCCACTTCAGCTGACTGTTATCTGCAGTTCGGCGGTTGACTCAGCCTTCCATCCTTCCGAGGTGGGTGAAATGAGGACCCAGACTGTGGGGGCGATATGCTGACTCTGTAAACCGCTTAGAGAGGGCTGAAAGCCCTATGAAGCGGTATATAAGTCTAACTGCTATTGCTATTGCTATAACATCTGAATATCTTTCCCAAGGCATTTGTGTCTGCTCTAGCAAGTTCTAGTCTTCAGCTTATTTCTTGACTGTTCCTTTACTGTTGGTGGTTGATTCTAAAACACAGAAACTACCCACCACTTCAGTATGGATGAGGGAATGAGTTTTCACTTATCTTCTCTTTCAAAGCAATGATTTTCATTGGATGGGGAGTTTCTATTGTGCCTTTCTAGGTTCAGAGGAACTGTCTTTTCATGCCAGCAACTGGGAGTTTAAAACACCTTCCCATCTGCTATGACTCCTGGATCAGGTACATTCACACACAGGCTATTCAGGATCATTGGGTTGTTTTCCATTCTTTTATTCCTCTTATGTATACTGATAAGAAAACAGAAGAGCCTGTTAAAACAAAGGAATAGGCAAAAGACACAAAAGATTTCAAATAAAGCTGCTTTTTTAAATCAACCTAAAAATTAGCTGTTGTTGGGACACATTTTCTTTCTTTTTTTAAAAATTCAATCATAAACATTCTGTAGAATTTCATGGAATTCATCGCCCTGGCTCATACCCACCCCTTGTTATCTCCATCTAGTTTTGTTCCCCTTTTTCTTCCCTGGCCAGTATATTTACATTTTTCTCTCATTTTCTTGCACCCTGTTTCTTCTTTTCTTTTTTACTATTTCTGATTGGAAAAAAAGAGTGTGCATGAACTATATTTCTGTGATGATTGTTTCATAGATGTTTTTGAGACTGGATGGGTATATGAGGATTGTGGATCAACTGAAATATCTTATTTACACACAACTGGTTTTAATTAGTAGTTATTACTCTCTGTTGCTGTTCTGGCCTTTCCATTATGAGGATTATAACTTCTCATAACGTATATACCTATCCATACGCAACTATGTCACATGGGCATGTAAGCATCTGGATGCCTAGCAATAGCAATAGCAGTTAGACTTATATACCGCTTCATAGGGCTTTCAGCCCTCTCTAAGCAGTTTACAGAGTCAGCATATCGCTCCCACAG